GGCATTTTTGAAGCTCGTCGTTTTTCACTTTTAGAGGCGCTTCGGACAACCTAGTGTATGTGAGTCCATACTACATCGGGCCTATCAAGACTTCAACGATATTTTCTCATAACATTTTGACACTAAAAAGAGGGTATGATGCCGTAAGAATATTTACTTACCAATCCTACCCCTGACCTACAATACTTTCACTCGAGGGGCAACAACCTCCCTTTCTGCACGTGGATGCATCCACCTTTGCACAAACACTAACACGATACTAATATCCGTTCAATGATCCAAGGGCGACCCTAAGTTCCTTGCTCATCCCTACTGAAGCGTTCCTCGACCTCACCCAATAGATGCAAACACTAATGAGCATAATACAAGTTGTTGCTTCGATCTTTCCCCAACTAACCCAACAAGCGATGTCATCACCTTAGTCACGATCAACAATTCAATTGTTGGGAAATCTAAAGCAACATCACACGCATAACAGAAGAATAGAAAACAAAATTTCTAGATTTTCACAGAAAATAGTTTCTTGTCATCGTGCGAAGATTAGTACGTAAAAACTCGTAAAACCAAAAAAACTACACGTGTTAAGGGATATGTGTTACTTAGAGAGATCGTATATCCCTAAAATCCTACAGATCTATGGGAGAGAATAAAGGAGGTCAACTGTTCTATTCTTTAGCGGTGATCCACATAGTAGATGCGATGAAGACGCTCCTCAAATTACTGTACAAACCTCTTCTTCACGAGCACAACAGGATCAAGAAGGGAGTCGACTCTTCTTGCTGTCCACATACCTCAAACAAAGGTTATTAGCTGAGGAGGAAAGGGAGAGAGGAGAATATAATATGGTAGCCAAAAGGGGCCTAGCCTATGCCCCTTTGGTTTCTTTCTATTTATAGAGGTCCTTATTAACTTAACCTTAATTGATCTTATCCTATCGTGTACTAAATCTCCAACCAATTACTCAAGCCTCTTGAATTAGTGGATCTTTACCCAATAATATGTCATTGGTTCTTATTGGATCTTATTCATAAGATCCAATAATTCATATGTTTATTGGATATCCAATAAGATAAGGGTTCAAATATATATCTCATATCCGAACCTCTACTCGTCGCAACACCTGCCATATGTGTGTGACCCTCTAAGCCTAATATTAAGCTGACCATAAATCGTACCTATTATAACTCCTTCTGACTTAGTGAATTAGGATCTCTTATAATAATTTACTCGATTCATCGACTACGAGCATACTAGGCCACTATGTCATAATTCTCAAACGATATAGGGGGATCCTATCCATTGACTTGTCTATCCTTAATTACCATGTATCTATAGTCCCTCATTCATCTAATATCCTAGAGACCGTATATCGAGTATGGTGTTGTCAGACCTATATGGAATCTACTTGAGTCTCGCTCTAATCAGATTCACTTGAAGAACTCTTTATCTCTCAATCCGAATGACTCTAGCCAGGGATTTGCTTAAGCAAGAACACATAAGATATTCCTCTCATGACACCGAGAGTAATTGATCCTCTATCAATACTCAATTGTCATCGTAAGGTTGGCTACCACTCACGATAACCGATTGTGCTAGATTTGGAACTTCCAGACCTAGAAGTCCGGTATCAAAGAATGGAGTACTCATATAGGACATCCTTTGTGTCTCAAGTTTAAGGACCAAACATACAATTGGGATCACAAAATTGTTGTTTAACAATGAGCATCTTAACTATCCAGCATTCCGTGAGTGAATCAATCAGTGAACTCATTCTCTAATGAGCACCTGTACCATATTCCTAGTGTCTCCACACGAGTAGCTATGATACTAGCTGCCTCCATCATATGGATGAGTATATAACACACCAGTTCGTCCGGTTATCTTGATATCCCTCTCGAGTAACTTACAATCAGAATTATTTAGGGTATGCATTTAACGGTGAATCAGTCTCATTATCATGATCTCGCTATGATCCGATTCTCATTGCATAGATCCATGAATATCATAATATATGCAATATGTAATATAAAGTGAGAAAATATCAATAATAATAATAAGTAAAAAGACTGTGTAGCGTATCATACATATTATCACTCATGTGATTGGCTTATAAGGCACCTATGACTAGCATACTCATGTCTATAGTGGATCACAATCATAAGACTATAGAGGATTAAAAAGAGGGATAAGGTAAAATATGTTCGAAGCGCATAAGTCGAGAAAGCATGACCCGTATGAAGAGAAATATATCATGATGGAGGCATAAGATAAAAATATGCCTGATGTACTTGAGTTAAGAAAACCTAACCCGTGTGAAGAGAAATATGCCATGACGAAGGCACAAGGTAAAATGTGTCTGAAGTGCATGAGTCGAAAAACCCGACCCACCTGAAGAGAAATCTATTACAGTGGAGGCATAAGGTAAAATGTGTCAAAGGCACATGAGTCGAGAAAACCTAACCCGTGTGAAGAAAAATCTATTACGATGGAGGCACAAAGTAAAATATATATGAATCGCATATCAAGAAAACCCAACCCGTGTGAAGAGAAATCTGTCACAATGAAGGCATAAGGTAAAATGTGTTTAAGGCATGTGAGTTAAGAAAACTTAACCTACGTGAAGAGAAATATGTTACAATGAAGGCATAAGGTAAAATATGTTTGAAGCATGTGAGTTAAGAAAGCCTGACTCACATGAAAAAAAATCTATCATGGTGGAGACACAAAGTAAATGTGCCCGAGGCGTGTGAGTTAAGAAAATCTGACCCATGTGGAGAGAAATATGTCGCGGTGGAGACAAGGTAAAATATACTCGAAATGCATAAGTTGGGAAAACCTGACCTACATGACGAGAAATCTGCCACTACAAAGGCATAAAATAAAATATGCTTGAGGTGCATAAGTCAAGAAAACTCAACCCATGTGAAGAGAAATCCACTACAACGGAGGCATAAGGTAAAATGTGCTCGAAGTGTGTGAGTCAAAAAAACCTGACCCACATAAAGAGAAATCTATCACGATAGAGGCAAAAAGGTAAAATGTGCTCAAGATGCATGAGTCGAGAAAACTCGACCCGCGTGAAGAGAAATCCACCACAACGAAGGCACAAGATAAAATATGTCCGAAGTGCATGAGTCAAGAAAACCTGACCCACGTGAAGAGAAATCTATCACAATAGAGGTATAAGATAAAATGTGCTCGAGATGCATGAGTCAGGAAAACCCAACCCGTGTGAAAAGAAATCTATCACAACGAAGGTACAAAGTAAAATATGCACGAGGTGCGTAGGTCGAGAAAACCTAACCTGCATAACAAGAAATTTGCTATGACAAGAAATATGCCATGACAAAAGTATAAGACCAAATGTACCCAAGGTACTTGAGTTAGAAAAACCTGACCCACGAGAGAAAATCCTAAATGTTATACTTCAAGCCCCTCTCGCAAGAGCTTTGAAGCATGCCTTTGGGATGAGGGACAAATGATAGGGGATATATTATCGGCTAATCATTCGATATGTCATCGCCACATGACGATTAAAAAAGGAGAAGATGAAGCTTCCTTCTTGTTATTTATGATTAGGAAGACAATCATAAACTTCGTTCTTATCATTTATGATAAGAAAGGCAATCGAAAGCTTCCTTCTTATTATTTGTAATCAGAAAGGCAATCTCAGGTTTTATTCTTGCTCTCTACGATTATGTATAAAAACTCACCTTTAACATAGAGAAATGAGAATTCACATCGGCACTCACATATCTTAGGCTATTAACTTGAATATCGGAAGGACTGGATCGGGAAACCTCTCCCAACCATGGTTTTGGTTTAGGTGGCATCTTAGGAGCTTATCATTTTTATCTCGAAGGCACTTTAGACAATCTTGCATATATGAGTTTCGACCAAATCGGGATGATCAAGACATGAATAACATTTTCTCTTAATTTTAGTTTAGGTGCTAATGTTGTATATGGGCAAAAGAAATAATAATGACCACTTTAGTTGTAAGAAGCGAGTGACTCTAATAGCCTCTACCTGATCGACAGACATATCCGAGCCTCACTACGAACGAAATGCGTCAATGCTGAAAAGGGCTTTTAGTCACGAAATGGACCCCTTTTCTCTATAACATTGTTTCTAGTATCTTTACGAATTTACTTAAGATTATTATTCTAAAATATATTTTCCTATAGTATCTTCTTAAAAAAAGAAAAATTATGTGTTGGTCATTGGCATAACATTTTCCTCTCTGATTATGTATTCTTAGTGAGGGAATGATGTGCAGAACTAATTAAAATTTACCGACATATATCCATTTTGGCTAACTCACTATAACATTACTATCTTAGTGTATCCTTAAGACATATCAAGATGTACCATAATGATTCGACAAAATCGAGGTTAAACCTTTTTGACCCACACTAGTTCTATGCAATGATATAACCACGCCAATCTAACCCTTAAAGCATTACAGGTCCACTCCGTTATTGTAACAATCTAAGTTTTAGACGAGGCACATTAATATCACACATCTTTTAAGGGTCCTTTTTAACCCTTTGCCATCATTCCTTGGTTTATTGGCTATAATCATCATTGTATAAGAAGTTCATATTTTAATCTTCTCCTTTTTTTTTCTCCTTAGATAATTCTCTTCTCCGAGCCACAAAAGACTTTTACGTCATTTTCATCCCCTCCTCCTAAGGTAAACTATGACAAAAAGAAAATAACACATAAATAATATAAACTTTGAGAACTTTTGTCATGACCCAGGTTTGGTAGACTAGTTAGTCCATCAGACCTAAATCACTGATCAAAATACTTAAATTAAAAATAATAATAATACACTTATTAGACTCTTATAAATTATTCTTAATCTGATCCACTGGGACTTCATCGTCAAAATCAATATAGCCTAAATCAAACACTAGTATCGTGTATGCTTGAGATATAGTTTAGTGGTGGTTCCATACAAGCTCTCTCACCATTACCTAAATACTAGATCGGTTATGATACCAAATATCACGACTAAGCCTGATAGACCAATTGGCTTATCTATTTCGTCTAACCTGAACTAAAATGTTTAATCTGATATTAATATTAGTCTACCTAAATTAAAAATAATAATAATACACTTATTACACTCATCAATCCCTTATAAGTTAATATTAATATTATTCATTTTTAACATGAAATTAATTATGATGTTATACTCTTAATCTCTCTAGCCTCTTTTTTGCACTTCAATTTTATAAGATGTATATAGGAAGATTGGCTGCATTAGAAATAAGATTATAACTGATCTTTTGATTTTTGCTCTAGAAAGTAATAATGTTGCTATAGCTATGTGATAGTCACTTATCGACCAAGAACTTAACACGATGCACTACAATTGAACGAAAAAATGGTTTAATCTCAACCGTTAATCAACAGTAGACAAGAGTACAACACAAAGGACCTTCTTCTCCGCCGAGGAAGAGGTACTGGTCGGAACAGCGAATGCTTAGGCTATCCAAGCCCGAGGGTGGTGTCAACAAGGAGGTCGGCGGCAACGAGAGGAGCGTGGAGAGACGATGGTGTCACTTGCACCAGTCATATTAGCACAGATCCGACAGAAATGGCAGATTCAACGCCAAGAACTCAAAGCACATGCAGCAAACGCTACACACCAAAAGGAAGAACAGACAAGAAGACTAACAGGAACGACGACGAGGCTTCTCTCATGCTAATCCTGCATTTGTACTATACAGCTGAGGATCCTTCGTGTACCATATGAATCTGCTGCCATCTTTGGTACGGATTCTGACATCTGGGATCTGCTGCACAACATCCCAATTCGCCTCGTTCCGGCGGCAACTCTCCAGCAGCGGTAAGCTGCACTGCAACTCAAATTTCTTGAAACTCGCACCTTCGCTCCGGTGCTGCTCCATCAGCAGCGGCAACCACCGAGGAAGATGCACCGTTGATGGCGAGCATTCAAGGACCAGGTGCTGCAGCGAGTCGAGATTCTCCACACACACCATCTGCGGGCAGTCGCTGATCGCCAGATACCTCAGCGAAGGAAGGTCGGATATCCTTTGCAAGCCTTGATTACTATTGACATGGAGCTCATCCAAGAAGGCCAGGTTCATGATCTCCGTCAATCTGTGATTACTCCGAATCTTAAGCAACTTCAATCTCGTGGCACGACGTAGGCCTCCTGGAACAGCTGCCAGCTTTGGACAGTCGATGAGATAACACTTCTGTAGATTAGGCAGCAGTTGAAGTCTTTCTCCATGACTGTCTTCCTCTGTCATGCATGATGACCATTGTTCCCAGTTGCGCATGTCAACGAACTGCATCACCTCCAGTTTGGGGAACGCGGCAGCTCCTGGAGGAATATGGCCGAGGATTTCAGGCCCAATGGCCACAACCGCATCTGCCTCCCTAATAGAAAGGAATTTTAGCTTCGGCAGCCGGCCCAGAGGAGGAAGCTCTGCACATGAAGGGAAGTGACTGAGCATCAAATACGACAGGTTAGGGAAAGAAGCATCCACGGAGGCTGAACGAAACCAGATCGGGAACCGCTGATATGGGAACTCCTTAATGTTCAACTCGCGTAAGCTGGGTGGAGGGCACAGCGAGTCGCACGTCACCTCTGCTCTCTGCATCTGCTCCTGCCACACTGGTGCTTGATTGTCCCATGACAGAAGCAAACGCTTGAGGAAGGGCTTGTTCGCGAGCACTTCGCCTCCTCCTTCAACTGCCCTCTCCAAGTTGTGTATCCTCACATATCTCAGCTTGGATAGAGATCGCAGCTCCTCCAACTGGCACCCCTCGTCAGGTCCGGTCGCGTACTCGCCACAGCCGATGATTAGTCCTCCGAGAGCGATGAGGTTCTCCAATTTGCTTATCCCTTTCGGCAGATGGGTGAGTGGTGTACGCTTGAGCCGAAGACATCTCAGACTGCGCAGCATCATGATGGACTTGGGAAGTTGATCCAAGCATTTGCACTCGGCGATGTTCAGGGTTTGCAGGTTTGCAAGGCTTCCAATGGATTCTGGTATCCTTCGTATGTTGGTTCGATCAAGATCCAAGTACCTCAGATGCAACAGCTTGCCGATGGAATCCGGAAGGCCCTCGATGCATGAATCGGACACGTCCAAGACTCGTAGATGCTCTAACCTTACAAGTACATCATTGACCATCCTGGTCTTGGGAGATTCGTGGAGAATTAAGGTCCTCAAGCAGTTCTGCTTCAGTATCACTTCAGGAAGTTGTAATCTTTCGCCGATGTTAACCATCGACAGCCGACGGACCTTTGTCAGAGGGCTCGTATGCAACCTGGCACCATCGTTGAACAAAATGCCCTCTCCTTCCATCAAAAAGTGAGCGAGGGACCTCAGGAGATCATGCATCGTGCACCGGTCCCCATCCATACTTCTCGGATCTGGTTGTAGAAGGTTCCTGGAGATCAGCTCCCAGTAGTAGTCCTCGGCTATATCCTCCATTAATCTTTCTCCATCATCTGCTCCAATGAATCCTTCGGCCACCCAAGCCCGAGCAAGATCGTGACAACTAATGCTGTAGGGTATGTACAAAGAACAGTAAAGGAAGCATGGTTTGAGATGAGACGGTAGGTCGGCGTAGCTCAAGTGCAAAGCCGCCGGTAGCTCCTCCTTGTCGATCTGGTTCATATGCCACGAGTCACTTCTGAGAACCGCTTCCCACGCTTCCTTGCTCGCCTCTGCCTTTCTAAGAACCCCTGCGATAACTTTGATTGCAAGAGGAAGCCCGTCGCATCTTTTGACGATCTCAACCCCAATCTCTTTCAACGTAGAGATCTCATCCTCCGTACCATCTCCGAGAGCCATCTTTCGGAGCAGTTCCCAGCCACTCTCTTCGTCCATTTGCTCAACATGGTGGATGCAAGCATTCATGCTTCTGGCGATGCCGGCATCTCTGGTGGTAACCACGATCTTGCTGCTACCTTCTCCATTCATTACAGGTTTCCTGAGTAAATTCTCCCACACATCTGAACACCATACGTCATCCAGTACTATAAGGGAGTTTGTCGACAGGAGAGAGACTACTCGAGTCTGAAGTGTCGCTGCGGATTCAAAACCATCAGTGTCCCCTCCTGCACATCTAATTACCTCTTTCAGCAACTGGTTCTCCGAGTAATTGTTGGAGACATACAACCAAATTCGTATGGGGAAGTTCTCCTTTATCCATTCATCGTTGTATATCTTCCGTGCCAGAGTGGTCTTGCCAATCCCACCCATACCGACAATCCCGAATACCCGATACTTTTGTTTGTCGTTCTCCAGTATCAACTTGATTAGATTTCGGGCATCATCTTCCACCCGTGTCCCTACGACGTCAGTCTTAACCTCTAGGAAAGACGTTTCTCGGGAGCTTGCTCTATGTTCTTGGGGAACTTGCTCTAGTCTCGGAAGAATTGACCTGTCCTCCTTGATCTGCTTCAGTCTGCTATTGAGCCCTTGGATCTTGCTACTGATTTGATGGCGAAGCTTCACGCATCTGAAGTAAGAACAAGGGGAAGCGAAGGAGAAGCTTATAGCTGAAGCCAGAGGCTGGCCTTCCAACAGCCTCTCACCTTTGACTATGCAGAGGTCGATGATGTCGTCGGCGTCGTACATGACGTCCTTCAGCTCTCTCACCCATCTGCCGATGTCGGAGTCCGTGAGCCTCTTCCGTTCTGCGGATTCCAAGAAACCGCCGATCCTCTCCAGCGTCTCCTGCAACTTCTGGAGCTCGTCCCCCACCTGTAGCACCTTGCAGATCTCACCCTCGATGAAGTTTGCCAGCTTCGGT